AAAAAGTGTTCGTCATCGTGTGAAGATTGGTGCACAAAAACCTATGAAATTGAAAACCACATATGAGAGAGTTGTGTTACTTAGAGAGTTCGTATATCCCTGAATTCCTATAGATCTGTGGGAGAGGATGAAGGAGGTTAAGCATCCTCCCCTTTTGTAATGATCCACATAGTAGGGGTTACGAAGACACTCCTCAACTCACTGCCTAAATTTCCATACCTGCTATCTAAGGAGAAGATGGGGAGAGGAGAATATGAGGTGGCAACCTATAAACCTAGCTTATGACCCTTTGGTTCTCTCCAATTTATAAAGGCCCATGATCAACTTAACCCTAATAAATCCTGCCCTATTGGGTACTGGATATAGAAAAATCTAGGGGCGATATCATATGCGTAGTAGAAGAACAGAAAATAAAAATCTCAAATTTCTCAAAAAGGTGTTCATCGTCGTGCGAAGATTGGTACGTAAAACCTACAAAACTAAAAAGCACGTATGAGATAGTTATGTTACCTAGGAAAATCGTATATCCCTAAAATCCTACAGATCTGTAGGATAGGATGAAGGGGTCAAGAGTCCTCTTCTCTAACGGTGATCCATATGACAGGGGCAACAAAAATGCTCCTCGAATCATTATCCAAATCTCTACACTTGCTAACTAAGAAGGAGAAGGGGAGAGAAGAATAGGAGTTGGTAACCAAGAAGCCTAACGTATGACCCCTTGGTTCTCTTATATTTATAGATGTCTCCTATCAACTTAACCATATTAGATCCTACTCTATTAGGTACTAGATCTCCATCCAACTATCCAAGCCTCTTAGATTAGTGGATCTCTATTTAATAATCTCTTATTGGCTCTTATTGGATCTCATCCATAGGATCCAATAATTTAGGGGCTTATTGCATATCTATTAAGATAAGGCCTCTGATGGATATTTCATATCTGAACCTCTACTAGTTGCAACACCTATCATATGTGTGTGACCCTCTAGGCCCAATATCAAGCTGGCTATGAATCTTACTTGTCAGAACTCCTTCTAACCCAGTGAATTATTATCTTCATAATAATTCACTCGACTCATAAACTTTGGACATACTATGTCACTACGTCGCAGTCCCTAGACGATACATGGGAATCCAATCCTTTAGACCTATCTATCCTCAGTTACCATGTAGCTATAGTCTCTCATCCATATAATATCACAGAGACCGTATATTGGGCATAGTGCTGTCAGGCCCATATGATTTCTCCTCGAGTCTCGCTCTAATTAGATTCTCCATAGAGAACTCTTTCTATCTCAATTCGAATGACCTTAGGTAAGGATTTGTCTGAGCAAGAACACATGAGACATTCTTCTCATGATATGAGAGTAGATGATCCTTTATCGACACTCAATAGCCCTCGTAAGGTTGGCTGTCACTCCCGATAATCAATTGTACTAGTTATGAAACTTCTAAACATATTACTATGGTATCAAAGAGTAGAGTACTCATACAGGACATCCTTAGTATCTCAAGTCTAAAGACTAAGCACACTACTAGGATGACAAAATCGTTGTTTGACAATAAAGTATCATCAACCATCCAGCATTTTATGAGCGGATTAATTAGAGAACTCATTCTCTAATAACTACTTGCATTGTAACCCTAGGGTCCTCACACGAGCAGCTATGAGACCAGTCACCTCCATCATATTGATGGGTAAATAAAACACTAGTTTATCTAGTTATCTCGATATCCCTCTCGAGTAACATATGACAAGGATTATTTAGGGTCTGTGTTTAAAGGTGAATCGATCTCATTATCATGATCTCATCACGATCTAATTCACAATGCACAAATCTATGGATATTATAATATATTTAAGAACAAGCAATATAAAGTAAAAAAATATCATAAAAATAATAAGCAAAAAAATTGTGAGTCATGTCATATGTGCCATCACTCACATTATTGGCTTGCATAGCACCTATGACTAGAATTGAATCTCCATCTAACTACCCAAGTATTAGATTAGCTGATTTCTATCCAATAATCTCTTATTGATTCTTATTGGATCTCATACATAAGATCTAATAATTTATGAGTTTATTAGATATCCAATAAGATAGGGGCTCCGACGGATATCTCATATCCGAATCTCTACTTGTCGCAACACCTATTATATATGTATAACCCTCTAGGCCCAATATCGAGCTAGCCGTGAGTCATACTTATCAGAACTCCTCTGGCTCAGTGAATTATTACCTCCACAATAATTCACTCGACTCATTGACTATAGATGTATTATGCCACTACGCTGCAGTCCCTAGACGATACATGAGAATCCAATCCTTTGAACATATCCATTCTTAGTTACAATGTACCTATAGTTCCTCATCCATTTAATATCTTAGATACTATATACCGGGCATGGTGTAGTCAGGCCTATACGATTTCTTCTCAAGTCTCGCTCTAATCAGATTCTCCCAAAAAACTCTTTCTCTCTCAATCCGAATGACCTTGGCAAAGGATTTATCTGAGCAAGAACACATGAGATATTCCTCTCATGATACTGAGAGCGGATGATCCTCTATCGACACTTAATAACTCTCGTAAGGTTGGCTGCCACTCCCGATAATTGGTTATACTAGATCCGAAACTTTCAAACCTTTAAGTCTAATATCAAAGAGTAGAGTATTTATACAGGACATCCTTAGTCTCTCAAGTCTAAGGACCAAGTACACAACTGAGATGATGAAATCGCTCTTTGACAATGAAGTATCATCAACCATCTAGCATTCCATGAGTGAATCAATTAGTGAACTCATTCTCCAATGAGCACCTGCATTATAGCCCTAGTGTCCCCACACGAGCAGCTATGAGACCAGCCGCCTCCATTATTTAGATAGGTAAACAACACACTAGTCTTCCGATAATCGTGATGTCCCTCTTGAGTAACATATAGCCAGGATTATTAATGATTTATGTTTAAAGGTGAATCGGTCTCATTATCGTGATCTCATCACGATCCGATTCTTATTGCACATATCTATGAACATCACAATATATATATACATTAAATAATATAAATTAAAAAAATTATAATAATAATAAGCAAAAAAGATTGTGTCATGTCACATGTGTCATTACTCACATGATTAGCTTGCGGGGCACCTATTGTTGAATCTCAGATTTTGATGATAAAATCAATTGATGAATTTGTGATCTAATCTGTATTTTTAGTGATGCAAGACTAGCTTCAATTAACGAGAGGCAAATTGATTGACGAAGGAGGAATCAAATGTTGGGTCCGAGTTGAACATGTTAGGAGATTAGACGTTGGGCCGGAGGATTGGTCGACATGCCGGCAGAAGGACTTCGTGTCATGAGTTCGAGCATCGGAGATCGAACATTATGCCAAGGAGATCGAAAGTTACAGAGTCAACATATCGATTGAGCAATACATCGAAGAGGACGATGCATCGAAGGATCGGACACACCAATTTCTAATGCTAGCTATTGCTGATCTGAATAAGAACACATAAGATATTCAGATCAAGGCAATATATATTCTAGTATATGTGGATGACATTATTGTCATAGGCAACAATCCTAGAGACATCCAAGCATTCATCAAACAATTGGCAGATCGATTCTCACTTAAAGATCTAGGACCCTTGAACTATTTTCTGTGCGTAGAAGCTATATTCATATCTTCATGTCTCTTTCTATCACAAAGAAAGTACATTTAAGATTTATTATCAACGATAAACATGCAGAACGCAAATGCGGTTCTAACTCCTTTCTTTGCTTGTGGCTCTCTCAAAATATCTGATGGAAGTCCTACTACGGAACCCACTCATTATCGACAAGTTGTTGACTCGTTACAGTACTTAGCTCTCACCCATCCAAACATCTCTTTTACAGTCAACAAATTATCATAGTTTATGTAGAGGCCGTCTATTATGCATTGGTCTATGGTCAAACGAATCCTGCGATATCTTAAAGGGACCCTTAATCATGGTCTCTTTCTTCGTAAACACTCTCCACTTCATCTTCATGCCTTTACCTATGTCGATTGAGTAGGCAACTTTGATGATAGAACATCCATATCGGGGTATATTTCTTCCTTGGTACTAATCCAATTAGTTTTTATTCTTAGAAACAAAAGATAATTGCATGGTTTATAACTAAAGCTGAATACCGTGTCATCGCCACTGCCACTACAGAACTTAATTGGGTCACAAATCTGTTCAAGGAACTCAACATCAATTCCACTCCTACAATATATTATGATAATGTCGGAGCTACCTATCTATACGCTAATCCGGTGTTCCACTCTCGTATGAAACATATTGCTATCGACTTCCACTTTATGCGAGATCAATTTGTCTGCCGTCAATTTCATGTTTCTCATGTGCATATGACTGATCAATTAGCCAACTCACTTATGAAGCCTCTCGCTCGTAAACTTTTTGCATTGCATCGATCCAAGATTGATATCTTTGATAGGAGCATCATTTTGTGGGGGCATGATAGCAGATAAAATTTTCCTAACTGTATGAAAAAATCCCTCTACTCTATTGAAGAAAATCCTCCGTCTCAACCTGTATAAATAGGAAGAGAATATGTGAATGCAATATAGCTTCTTCAATAATTCTTCCTATCTTTTATCTCTTGTAACAGAATCCAAGAAGCTTTTCTTCAATATATTGTCACCTTTCCACAAAATGTGTAGTATAAAAAGGTATACACTTTTAGGATTATAAGATAATACACGAGTATAGGGAATTCATGCATTCAAAAGTTGTAGATAGGTAACTGATCCTCTAACTAAACTCCAATATTTTATTGAGTTATGATGAAAGGGATATATTTTGTAATGGTTTGGTGAAGTGATATAGAGACTCCATGTCTCCATGGTCTCACATAAGTTCTAAGAATGCTTTTACGAGAACACTGGGCAACCTCACCTTGCTTCCTCCCACCAACTTGCCTTCATTTCTACCAACACAACCATCCAACCAAGCAATATAAATCCAATGAGCCCACCAACTTCATTGAACGGCTAAACCCTTGGCTTGCAGAGCCTCCCCCTTACTGTTCCTCCCTCAATCCATATAACCACTCCGCCTCATCCCCCCTCAAGTACTCGAGACACCAACGACGACGCCATGGACTGGTACTCCTGGCTTCTTCAAACCAACCTCGATCCCGACCTCGTCTGCGAGTACTCGCTGCTCCTAGCGAGCAACGAGCTCGAGGAGGACGATGTTGCGCACTTCGACCACGAGTTCCTTCAGAGCATGAGCATCTCCATTGCTAAGCACAGGCTCGAGATGCTTAAGCTAGCCAAAAGGGGTAAGACAAAGTCGTCGTCGCGCCCCGTCTCTTTGCTTCTCGTCGCTGTCACCAAGACCAAGAATTGCATCGCGAGGTACTTCCGGTCGTTCATCAATCATGACGCTTCGCCCATCGTCGTCGTCCCGAGGTCGTCCTTCTTCGATGGAGGAAGGCCGAAGAGTGATATGTTGAAGAGGAACAAGAGGATGTCGCGTATCAAGCAAGGGAGGGTGACGCTTTATATGGCACCACAAGCCATGGCCTATAAGGAGAGTATGGACAGAAAAGAGGACAGCTACCGAGGGAGCAGCGGAGAGGAGACCAGGTGGGAGTCCATGTTTCAGGACCTGAAACCTACTTAACGTCATGATGTGGATGGAGAAGGCTTTCATGGTGCAACTGCTGTTCATTCAGATGGAGGGCTTTCCAGTTTGCTGCTTGTGCGTTCACTGTAGCTGCTGTTGTCATTATGATCTTAAAGTGGCTGAAGCAGAATCAAATTTTGAATTCAAACTTGATAGTGATGATAATATATAAAGCAAAACTACATGATATATGATGAAATTAATATGTCTGCTTCTAATAGGCCGGCATAATGTATTGTGCAAGATTAACTTCCATGGCCAAGTCAACTTGGTTAGCTTACCTACCATCTTAATACATGCAGGTGTTTGATGGAAAATGATTCAGTAGGTGCATCAATCTAACCATGATCTTATTCAGATCAGCAACAGCTAGCATTAGAATATCTTATGCATTGAGAGGAATATCTTTTAAGTGCTGGGTGAAGTTTAAGAGAGATAAGTGGTTGTATAGGTTATCTCCTAAACTTGTGAAAAGAAGAAAAAAGATCTAAAAGGGTAGTTGGTCTTTGCCCATTGAAAGAAGATCAGTAGTAGAAACCGATGGCCTCGAGTGAAGATGAATTGAGAGTGGATGTAGGTCATGACAATCGAACCACTGTAAATCTAGTTTACAATTATTGTAAACTGATTTCTTACTTTCACTACGCTTACGAAAGTGTTTTTAAGTTAACATCTTTCCGATATCAATTTTCATCGAACAAGAATTTCCAAATTAATATAATTTTATATAAGCACTAATTTATCCCCCCCCCCCAGTGTCCATTCACGATCCTAACAATTGGTATCAGAGCCAATTTTTCTCTGTTTGGTTTAATACCTAAGAAAGATAACTTTTTTCAGCTTTCAGATTACACGTATTGGAAAACTCGAATGAGAGTTTTTTTGTTTTCATTAGATTTTAATTTATAGAATATCATTAAAAATAATTTTTGAAAGTTTTCTAATCCAATGAATAAATAGAATGATTTGAAGAAGAAAACTTTTTCTTTGAATGCTAAAGCGATGAACGTTTTGTTTTATGCCTTAGACAAAAATAAATTTAATCAGGTTTCTATTTACGAAACTATATATGAGATTTGACACACTCTTGAAATTACACATGAAAGCACAAGTAGAGTTAAAGATTCTAAAATTAATCTTTTGATGCATGATTTTGAATTATTTCGTATGAAGCCAAGCGAAACTATTATTGACATGTACACCCATTTTACGGATGTCATCAATAGTTTAAAAATACTTGGTAAATTTTTTTCTAACCTTGAACTTATAAATAAAATTCTAAGATATCTTCCAAAAATTTAGGATCCAAAAGTAACGGCAACACAAGAAGCGAATGACCTAAATAATTTTTCACTTGAAGAA